TGATGATTTTATAAGGAAGAGAAAAAGAATGCCGAAAATTACACGCTCTATAACAATACAAAAGCATCATTTATTATGATTTTAAATTTATATATTGTTTACCACGACCTTTAACTGTATACTTATTACGATTTTCATATTTAATCAAAACAAAACAGTGCAAAAGAGAAGGTTTTCTCCAAATGATCAAAGATGAAGATGGGGAAGGATGTAACATATATGGATTCTTGGATGTCAATAAGGTAGCTGGTAATTTCCATTTTGCCCCTGGCAAGAGTTTCCAACAGTCCAATGTGCACGTTCATGACCTGCTAGCCTTTCAAAAGGACAGTTTTAATGTAAGATATCCTTTTTTAAACTTTTCATTTGCTGCACTTCAAACGAGATACTACCTTCATCGTTTCATAATAAAGTTATAAGACCGAGGTTAATAAAATATAGGATTTGTACGACAGATAAGTCACACGATCAACAGATTAGCATTCGGAGACTACTTCCCGGGTGTAGTCAATCCTCTCGATGGGTATTTTTGTCCTTTCATTTCCTACAGCCATTTTTAGTGGCGTGCTCTTACAATCTGTCTGGATAATTTGCCACGTGGCGTAAAACGTATATGCATTTGTTTCTTTCTACCTGCAGTGTGGAATGGATACAACAGACACCAAATGCAATGTATCAGTATTTCCTCAAGGTCAGTGGTTTACGTGAACACATCTACGTTTGTGATTAAGTTTTTTGCTTTATTTTTTGTAACTGTTCGTTTTACTCCGTATTTGTTTATGTAATGAAGTGTGTTGCTTGCTAAGTTCATCTAGATTATTTACTAATATATTCCACCTTATAATGCCCCGGTTCCTTTATGAGATTGCAGAGTTAAGATTTGTCCTCAGGTTAATTCAATTTATTGATTTTCTTAATATGTGCGCAACAACCCAAAATGTCGTTTAAATCGGGACGGTGGGAGTACTAAATTTCTATGTTGCAGGTTGTGCCAACTGTATTCACAGATGTCAATGGACATGCTATCCAGTCGAATCAGGTTCTATCACTACTAAAATTACAGAGTTTCTTGTGTTTGAATTTTTTCGTACATAAATATTTTCTTTAATTGGACATCAAATTGATGAACTTTTTTATGTTATTGTAGTTCTCTGTAACCGAACATGTTAAAGGATCAGAATTGGGTCGACTTCAAACTCTTCCCGGAGCATTCTTTTTTTACGACCTTTCACCAATTAAGGTGTGTATCATATTCCCGAATAAGAGTTCCATTAAACCCTTTTTGCTACTGAGCTGGTCCTTCTTATCGGCATAAAATATTTCTGCTTATCATCATTCCTGGTACCAGGTAACTTCACAGAGACGCACGTTTCGTTCTTGCACTTCTTGACGAATGTCTGTGCCATTGTTGGAGGTAATTAATCAACCCACTCGTCTAGAAAATCTCGGTCATTTCCAATAATATTCGCTTCAATGATTTGTTTTTTGTGCTATATTAATTTTAAAACAAAGAGTTATACCAGCGCCATCTCATAATTACATACATTCATTACTTGTGCTTCGTGTCCAGGTGTATTCACAGTATCGGGAATCATCGACTCGTTCGTATATCATGGTCAAAAAGCAATTAAAAAGAAAATGGAAATAGGTAAGTTCAGCTGATTATTGATGCTTGTACAATGTCGCATGGTGCTTTTGGGATCGAAATTCGCTTGCCAGAGAAAACCATTCCCTTCAAAAACAGAACGGTACTCGTACAACGGTACAGGTTTTTCCCTGCTAAGTGTTATCGAACAACTTCACGGTCGCAGCTACATTAGTTTTGTGATATTTGTTAATTGAATAGATTAATAATTGTAGCAATTGTTTCATAGTTTCTGGTTCTGTCTTATTTTGGCAATAGATTTTTGTGACTGTATTTATACTAGTTTTGATATTTAATCTCATTTAATCTGCTTCAGAAGCAACTTTGATAATGCTATTTGTTTGCCCCTTTGGTGTATAGATGGAAAGTTCAGCTAGGCCTCGTTTGGTTAGGGAGATTTGTCATCCTTAACTACATAGTTGGATTTTGTTTGATGTTTGGTATCCTCAATAACTTGCCGGGTCGACCCGCAAATATTATATTATCTTGCCTTTTAGGAAGTATTTTTGTAGGATGTCTTGGGGTCCGATAAAATAATTGGATTGTCATTAAATTATTTAATTTTATCTTGACTAATCTTATCTTGCCATCTTGGCAATCAAACGAGGCCCTAGTTTATAATTCCGTACGATGATTTCATCTCATTTAATCCTTTTGTTTTCTCTTTTGAGAGTGTTCATTTTTATCTCAAACGTATCAGAAAACTGTTCGTATCCAGATTGTTCAAAATTATGTTTTTCTTTTCGTCTTTTTTCTTCTTATTATTATTACGACTCCTTGACTGTCGAGTAATTTAATTATATCCTATCATATTTTAATCGATGCCTTGCAGCCTAGCTCGCGCTATGTGGATCCTTGGTCCTCACTTGGCTCGCTACCGAGTCAACAAAAAGTTTGTTCTACATTAGAAGTGTAGAACTTTGATAAATTAATAATCTCGTTTAAATAATATTACTCCATAAAAAAACACTAAACTATTAGTTTTGATAATTTAATATTTCACTAAATTAATAGAATTTTGTTAGTCCCGATTGTATAAAATAGAAATTTAACGGTAACGGTTCTCATTCCAAAAATGTCAACCTGGACATGATCATGTGGGCCCGACAACATCCAGTCCGTCAACAGTTTCTTTAAGTCGGACCTTTTATCATGTTCTAGGCCCATCATTGACCGTACGAGGCCATTCAAATAGTATGACCGTTCTTGTTCTATATAAATAATTATTCACTAAACACACACACAGCTGTGTGTTATTATGTGTAGATGAATTGTTTAAAATCGCCATGTATTTTACTGAGTGTAGCATCTACGGAACCTAAAACTTCTTATGGTCGTTCTACTGTTTCGTGATTTGGTTTTGATATTAAATTATAGTAAGAAATAAAAGCAAGAGAATAAGAAAATATGGTAAGGCAAAAATTGTTGAGAGAGATAAGAATTGATTATTAGAATCCATGCGCGTGCTATAGTGAAGTGGTCCGTCGGCCAAAAAGAGCATTTTGAAGAAAAGTATTCAAGTCCATTGGATTGAAATTTGTCACCAAACAAGAATATACAAATTAAATAAGATAATTACAATCCATAACTAATGTTAAATTATGGAAAAAAATTGCTTTTTAAAATAAATTTAATCCCCAATTAGTGGCACCATATATAATATATCCTACATTCAATAAATTTCAAGAAAGTTTATCTCTTATGGTTTGTGAGCTATTTTTCCTAGATGGGTTGAAATAAAATAAACGCATTTTACTCCATTAATGGCAAATGGATTCAACATACGAGTCACTTGTGGGGTTGAATGAGCCTCAGAGCTCACTGGATATGAACCCTGAAAGCTGTAATTAGAGTTTCTACTTGTCTTTTAATGCTACAATGAACAACTTGAAATTAAATTAAATCTACAACCTGTCAAATTCCAAAATTGAAGTTTAAAGTTAGCAGATTTGAAGAAACTTACCAAAATCGACGATGTTGGTTGCGCGATTGAGATGTTCAACGTGACAAACAATCCAAAACTTGCTAAGGTAGAGTTTTGCAATTCTTGTGTTACCGAATTTCAGCTCAATTGGAGGATTCCAAAAGGAAATTGGGAGAGAGAATGAGGTGTCACTCCACCTTTATGTTTAATCTCATAAAAAGCCTAAGGGTGTATTCTAACTCAATTTTGACTGCCAAATAAATGTCATTGCGGCGTATGTGACATTCCATTCATCTTAACTTAGAAATTCAACACGCGAACCAAAAGTGTTAAAATATCGTAACTTTAACGACTAATTTAGTGGCAACAAAAGTTTGATGACTAAAATCGTTTTGGATGGTAAATATATGGACTAAAACTATAATTATCCCTAGAGATTCTTATGGGATATATTTTGTTTTTCTAATTAATACTATGCAATGTATCATATATATGTCTATATGATTTAATGGAAAAATACACTTTTGATCATTCATGTTTACGGCTAAATTATTTTCGTTCCCCCATGTTACGGAAAACAAATATTGTTGGTCCCTCGATTTACCACATTATGAAGCATTTGATCTTCTCCATTAATGTGTTGTTAGTAATTAACAAAATTTAGTCAGAAAGAACGGGAAAAAATAGTTTTGGTCCCTCATATATACGACTAAAATATTTTTCATCCTTCTTATTCTAAAATGAAACATTTTTAGTCTCTTGATGCTTGATGTTGATTGAAACCCGCAACGTAAAAGGAAATAGAGAATATATTATGAGAGGGAATCACTCAACTGGCGGAAACGGAATTACTCAACGCCATTAATCGCGGAATCACTCGACTAAACCAATCACTCACTTTTAAAGATGAATCACTCACTCTCGATGCAAGATACTTTCAACATATTTTTAAACTTAAATGCTTATACTGATTTTATTCATTGATAAGCCTTATATGGGATTTTTGAAACATCTCTCCAAAACATAGGAAAATACCAACTTGAATGACTTATCAACTTCTTGGTAAACCATTATTTTTGTTGTTGGAAAACTAGACTTCAACATCTTTATAACCATATATGGCATGGAATTTAATTCTTCATAAATCGCTACAGTTTATTTTGTAAAGTAGACTGATCCGTTAAAAGACAAATCTTGCATCAAAGGTTTTACCTTAATTTGATGGAATGGGGGCCAACCGCGTAATAATGTTGTAACTTAAGTGACCAAATGTGATTTTTGTATATGTTAGGGGACCAAATGTGAATTATGAGCAAATATAAGGGACTTCAATTGTATTTTTCTCATCATTTAATATATTAATATTTATAACATTGTTTAAGAAAAAATAAAAACTCTTCTAAGTTACGACTCAACATTTTTACAAAACGATTTTCAATTTGATTCACGATTTAACAACCATAGCGCAAGTTTTGACTTGCATTTTTTCATTCTTTCATGTTTAATTAGTTCTTGATTTTCCAAACTATTTCCAAAACAAATCCAAAAATTTCGATAGTGAAATGAAAACTAAATTTTAGTTCAGAAAAAAAATCAGATTTTTTTCCCCCAAATAATGCCAAAATTTGTTACAATCTCTTCGATTTTCAGGCAAAATTTTATCACACGTAAACAAATTAGGTAACCGACGAAATTGATTGAGTGTATAGCATCATCGGACAACATCGTTCGAACAAAATCTGTTTGAATCACATGGTTTGTTCCTTCGAAATTATTGTTCATAGTAAGTTAATTTCATCCATATAATAAAACATCACAAAATTGAAACCAATCTTAGAGTCATGTCAAAAGATAACTAAATGCTAAATAATATGGGATTTTTATGCAAAAGTCCCCAACCAAGCATGTTTATTATTCTAGGTTTAGGGGACATATCTCTTTTACCAATAAGCCCATCCCTTTAATATTTATTATAACTAAAGGAAACATTCATGTATATCCCAATATTACCCTCAACCATTTATACCCAATTCTTAATTGTAATCCAAATTAATCAATTTTGTCCATAAAAGTTCAATTTTGACCACAAAAATTCAATTTTGACTTTTTTTTGGAGTATAATTTAATATGCTCCAATTTCATCCTTAACTTAATTTAATCTCAATTTGACCCCAAATTTCACAAATTATTAAATTTTGACCCAAAATATTTTTTTTTTCAAAAAATATTTTTTTTTTCAAAAACTTTTTTTTTTGCCGCCGGATTCCGGCGTTGACCGGCGGTCAACGCCGGTTTCCGGCGTTGACTTTTTAAATTTTTTTTTTTTTTTTTTTTTTTTTTCTTTCTTCCGGATTTTTTCGCCGGTTTCCAGCGTTGACCGGCGGTCAACGCCGGTCTCCGGCGTTGACTTTTTTTTTTTTTTTTTTTTTTTTTTTTGCTTTTTTCTTTTTTTTTTTTTCTTTTCTTTTCTTCCGGATTTTTTCGCCGGTTTCCGGCGGTCTCTTTTTTTAGTGTTTTTTTAAGTTTTTTGTTTTGTTTTGTTTGGTTTGTTTTGTTTTTCCACGTCCGCCGCTAAACGTTGACCGTAATTGTGCTGTCACTGACAGTAAATTAACGTAATTATACTGTCAATGATAGTTAATTAACGTAATTGTACTGCCGTTGACATTACATTTATGTAATTGTGTTGCCGTTGACAGTAAATTAATGCAATATA